CTAACACAGGACTACTCAAGAGTATGAATATGAAAATAAACTGTATGCTATTCTAAATAAAAAAACTAAGAAGATTTGAAACATGACAAGAAACAAAAGAGATTACAAAATCTAACTGAATCTAAGTGTGTTCACATGCAGTTTTGAAATCTCACCGTAAAATACATTTTAATACAGTTTTTCTCTTACATCAGTGAACTTCAAATAACTTTGAGTGTACCTGGCGTACTTAAAGCCATTTTCATGCCAGCGAAGAATCAAAAATGTTAAAACCAAACACTCGCCAGAGTAAAAGACAAATGAGCACAAACAACAATCACCTAGTACCTGTGAAGAAAAAGGAAGACAAAACGAACTTCAAATCCTGGTTGTACTTTAATGTACTTTTACATTAATCAAAATAGATACTGAGTTAAAATAACAAAATATTGTCATTCATAAGTTTAAGGGAGAAAAGAATACAACAGGCTAGATGAACTCTGATCTGATCCAGCAAGGCTGCTCTTACGTTGTCATTAAATTTCATACAAAATGAATGATGAAATGTATATGCAACAAATAGCCATTCATCACTCACTCTAGCTTCTGCTGCTCAAACTTACTCAAGAGATGAGACGATTACTTCCACGTGGGAATGACCAACCCCCACCCCACATGCAGCCCAGCTCCAGCTCTAGCCCCGCACCACCTGCAGCTCTGCCTGCCAAGCAGCCCAGCCTGGCCACGGGCATGCACCCACTGCCCTGCAGCAGCCAAACACTGGTGTGTACGAGCACTGCCTGAGCTGCAGCCGGGGCGTGGGTAGGGCACAGGGCAGTGCAGCTCAACTGACAGCAAAGAGTTGTGTGCATTTTGGTTCACTGGCTGAACACAGTCTTGTGAGCAGCAGAAAATACGCTGCCATGCTTCCCCTTTTTGATAAAGGCATTTGAGAACAGGCTTCAAGATTGATGAAAAAAGATCCTCATTTTTTGGTCTATTTGCAACTTCATTTTCAGTCAACATAAATACATGACCCGAGAATTTTCAAATGGAGTGCACAGAATTGCAATCAGACACTCAACTCAAAAATCTGAGGACTCTTTTGTAAGCCCTATCTTACCAGAGAAGAACATCCCTCCCTTCATAATCACACCTTATTCATGTCATCACTGTTTGGCAACACACACATTGATGACCAACTGTTTTCGAGGATGAAGAGGAGTAAAATTTCATCAAAAACCCTTGAGAGCTCACTAAGAATTGCAGGCACTGCCATGGAACCAGGGGTTGATGCATTAGCTTCAGAAGAACAAGTCACGTATCCCACTGGTTCTGTGTTCCTCTTTTTTTTTTTTATTTTAATCTTTTATATTTTTTAAACAAGTTTTATTATTTATATACATTAACTATTTAACATATTTTATGAGGGCTGCTCAAAATATAGCGCCTGCCATTTTATAACATCAGCCCATGGTGTCAGAGGCAGATGTTGGTGTTCTGGCAGTGGTGGCTGAACCTTCCCACCAATACTGTTACATATGGTTGCCATGAGACAGACGGCAGCAGAAGGGCAGGGCATTCTGACACGGAAGTGCAGATGAAGAAACGGTGTGTCACTGAATTCTTCCATGCAGAAAAAATGGCATCCACTGACATTCATCGACACCTTTATAATGTGAAGAATTATGGAGACCAATTAGTGGATGTGAGCACAGTGAGGCAGTGTGTGGTGCATTTCAGCAGTGGTAACAGCAACAGTGGGTCCCCTTTGCTGCCGCAGATTTTTACTAGCACAGCATGTAGGCTCCTATTCATTGATGATGAAAATACATAGATAGTGGTTGTGACTGTGCTGAAAAATAGTGCCTTGTAGCTGAGATTTTGCTCTATCAAATACTGTTATTGCACTCTTCATACTGTAATTTCTATGGAAATAAATAGGAGGCATTAGTTTTGAAGCAGCCCTGTGTATGCAGCCCAAACCTATTTCTGTTCAATCACTGTAGCCCAGGCAAGCCAAAAGGTTGGATGGATGCTTTTGGGTTTTTTGTTGTTGTTTTTATTTGTTTTGTTTTTCTGTTTTTTTTTTTTTTTTTTTTTTTTTTACCTCATTTTGTAAGAAAGCAGCATGAACTCCAATTTCTTTTTCTTCAGTAGAAGGCAACGTGACTGATTCACTAGGCAAAATTTGAGTCCACCGCCCAGAAGACTTTTTAAAAGAGAGTATGTTTTCTGATTCTGTGCTCTCCCACAAGAAGACATGTGCTGTAGGAGTAGTTAACAGTGCCCTTCTGCCATCTCCAGACACATACAAATACAATCTCATCAAACACTCTAGAAAAAACAGTAAACGCCAGAATTATTTTTGATCCTCTGTTAGATTTAGACTTTAAAAGAACAGGAAAATTACTTTCACCTCTATCACAAAAAATTCAAGCTGCCTCCTTAACTACCTCTGATTTCCAACCTCATCATTAATGCTAGTCATTTGGCAGCAGTAAAGTCAGAGAGGATGCCTGTTCTTATAGATTTTGTGTTATCCTCCCAGGAGACTCAACCATCAGAAACAGTCTTTCTTGAAGTACTCCTCCTATGGAAACTACAAATAAATGCATAAAAGCTCTGCTTTTTTATTACCCTCAACTCCTAAGTGCATGTATTCCTCAAAATGACAGATTGCTTCTACAATACTTCATTTTTTAACCTGATGTCGGTGAGATTATCCAGTAAGATGATATTTAAATGATATGCAACTTAGTACTAAATTTGCAAATACATGCCTTTGTAATGGTCTCTCTAATTACAGCTTATCAGAAAATCCTACCTAGAAAATAAACCTAGAATGATGCATATAGCAGTTAAATCAGATGTACGTCTTCTCCAAGGTATTTATAACCTAAATAAAGAATGTTTTTCTACAACTGATAACTAACCACTGCAAACAAATATAAACTGCACTTAAAAATGGATGGCAGTTTATACATTTTTTTGCATTTAGAAATCTGTATTACTTAAGTAACAAAAAGGACATCTGTCACAGCTTAGTTTGCAGACAAGTAATAGAAATGCAAAATACTAGAATATAGCTTTTAACTTGCGCAAGAACAGTTTATAACACAGAGACTTTTGCCTCTACTTCGTTTTTCAAAAGACAAACTGAAAAACACTTACCTTGTGCTGCTGCAGCTACCTTCCTGGAATCTTCAATTGCTGGTATTACTTTTAAAGAGTCCTGGTCTTTATTCCAAAGAAATAACTCTCCTGTTGTAAGTAATCCTGCCAGCCAAGCGCCTGTGCTCATCAGGGGAGAGATATTTAGAGGCACATTATTATGAGGAACTTAAAATTACTTCCTCTCCACTATAGCCACAATTCTAAAGCTGAAAGTGAACTGGAATATATTTCAAGTATTGTACCTTTTTAAACAGTTAGAACTAAATGTATTGAGTTTATAATACATGAAATAGTATACTTAACCATTTATTGATGTTGTTAAGACAATCACATTTTTTAACAGTGATTGCAGCCGGGGAATTTTCTTCTTTGTCTTCCCTGATGCAAGATTAATTTCATTTATATGTTTATCATCTAGAAGAAAAACAGCCTCTTTTTCCTGTTAAAAGAAAAGAGCATTTTAAACTAATTTTTATTCAGCCTGTAGAACATTAAAGAAAGACATAGAAGTGTTAGAAAAAATAATGAAGAGGGAAAGAAAGAAAGAATGTTACAGCTGTGATTATCATATTAACTTCATTCTTTGGCATATCTGCTTTATAGTACAACACAACTATCCTTATATATTCCTTTCAACTTGAGATATGAGTCAAGGATCATACATAGCATCAGTCTATGTCATTTAGACAGATTTGAAACTATTAAACTAAACTTACAATCACTACTAAAAAGTTCTTCAAAGTATCTCGACTAAACCACACACCAAAAAGGCAGACACCCATTCCCTCACCCTGTCCTGTTTAAAGTAAGACTTTTGCCACTGCTTCAAACAGACTGGGCCTCAGACAGCTTATCTAATTAAGCAGAAATCGCAGATTACAAAAAGATATAATCCAGCCTCATCTTAGCAAAAAGGCTTAATAAAGCATCTTTCAACACAGGCAGCTGGGAATGGGAAAATGCTTCTGTTCAAAATTTTCAATGATGTACTTTAAAATGAAAGGGTATGAGAAACCAGAACCACCAAACAACAGACTCAGGTGTGAGGCACATCTTGTGAAACGCTCTCATCTTGTCATCCAGCCTCAAGACCAGCTTGGAAGATACCACTTTTATTTTCTGCAACCCTTAAGTGCAATGCATTCAAATTAACCCCTTTCTTACCCCTCCTCTCCGTATACAGAGATGCAAAGTGTTATATAATGAAAAGATATCTACTCTTTAAGGAAATTTCTTTCAGTTACACTTCTTCACACTCACCTGCCCAATCCAGGTGATGCGAGTCCACGGTTTTCTTTGTTTGATAGATGTAGACACAAGAACGTCTAGCTTGACCTCCATTCTCATTAAGCCTCTAGGTAACCATTATAAAGAAAACCAAATAATATCTTCTCCATATGCCTAAAGAGATATGAAAAAAAAAAACAAGCTTTCATTCTTTCCAGAGGACCCTTTTCAAACAGACCCCTGCTGCCACTCACACAGTTCACTGGCAGCACCTGAGCTCAGCCATACAGGTTACACACCTCGTTCCACAAGGAGCGGAGACAAACGAGCGCGGGAACACCAACACAAACGGCCGCCAACGGCTGCCAGGCCAACGGACCGCGCGGGCACAACGCAGCGCGCAGGCGCTGCTCTTCTACGCCGCCACCGCCTCCGCCGTGACGGAAGATCCCGCGAGATCATCGCGAGAGCGCCGCGCCGCTCCGCCCCGCCTCCGTCCTCTTCGCTTCTGCGTTCCACAGCAGAGCGCGGGAAGCGTGAAAGTGAGGCGGTCCGGGAGGTGCTCGGCAGGAGTAACGGCGGCACCGAGGGCCGCGGCAAGCGTGCACGGCTGGATGGGCTGACGGCTGCAGTACGTGATCTTAGCGGTTTCCAACCTTAACGGTCCTATGATTCTATACTGAAGTTACATGCAGCAAAAATATCAAAGGTGACACTTGATGCACTTCGAAATTCCTCTAGCATGTCGCTATGGAGGCATTTGTATTCTGTAACTGGAAAAAAAGCCTCTGATTTGTGTCACTTCTCAGCCCTTCGTCCCGCCCAGGTGTGAAAGCAGCTATCAGATTACAGAAGATGACACAATTCTCAGAATAGCAGATTGCAGCAGGTTACAGAACGACGGTGTACCACGAGAAGTTAAACGGATCAGGCATCACTGCTTTGGGTACGAACAGAACTGCAACCAGACCAAGGTAACTATACTAGAGAAATCAGTTCCTTTATTTAAACACTTTTTGAATGAACTTCAACACTGATGCTGGCTTGGAAAAGCCCATATTAAGACTTCATCTTTATTTTGGTTTAATAAGAGATTAAAAAAAAAAAAAAAAAACAACAAAAAAACAACCAACCCAGACTTATCCTAATTTATGTAACGCTTTACTGGGTGCAGTCTATAGAAACCCACTGAAACGGACCAGGCAGTTTTTAAAGACATTTAACAGCTGTGCTTTCAACAAAACGCTGGGTTACAGTAACGCTGGCAGTAAAGGTCACAGTTAACCTGTATGTGAATGAATATCTTAAGTTGCAACTTTTTTTTTTTTTCCTGTTTTTGAACACTTGTGGTATGTATATCAATTACTCATTGTGCTGGGAAAAAAAAATGCATTACCTACTCTGCATGCATAGACAAATGTATTTCCTTCTCCCTTGCCTCTGATTTACATCAAAAGTTATTTGCATTAGAAAGTTATTTGCAAAAAATACCCACATAAACTGGTAACTTATTGTGCACGGTATACAGTTTATATTAGCAGATATGTATACAACTCATGGCAACGAACCAGGGACAAATAACATAAGTTTATTTGTAGAGTGAAATTTTAAATGTTAGGAAGCATGAAGTCAAGATAAGGCACAGATGTCGCTCATTTTAAGGAACATGTGTCAGTTTGGTGCTTGTGTGCACATACTGAAAGTATAAGTCATTTCTTTACTTTTTAACAGACAAAACATGTTTATTAAAATGGAATAGGGAAAATGATGTGACAGGTTTTTAATACTTTCCTGTCACTTGCAGTGTGAATCTGGTTGCTAATTTCTGCACTTTTATCCCAAACATACTATTTACAGGTGATAATGAAAGTGATAATAATGAAGCAACGAGCATCTTTCTTATTGAAAGACTTGCCAGTAGTGCCCAGCGAGTTATGTTTGAATCCTTGACCTGACCTGTGTTTACAAACTGACTCCACCAGCACGTACACCTATCATATTCTTGCCTTTTTCAGTTGTTATTTGTTTTATTACTTGTAAAACAGCTGTGAAGTAAATTATACCTCTTGCTTTTCCCCATTACCTTATGTTAAACAAAGAAAAAAGAAAATATTTTCCAAATATTTTTAATTTTCATGAGAAAAAACATACAATGTACTTTATTGCAATAGTATAAAAAATGAGCTTTTCTGTAATTAAAAATTGTGGTAGTAGCAAAAGAAACTATTTTCCACATTCCTGTTCCACAATTTGTAGGTACATTTAGACTAACAGGCAGGCCACATAATCAATAATTGGCAGGACATGCAACTGTCTTATAAATTCAATGAGCATTTGTTCTTGCAGAGATTCAGTGCAGACACCTGAAATTTCATTTCACAGTACATTTTATCTGTGCAATTTTTACTGTATTGGTCAATCAGTGAAGCCTTTCTAACTTAGCCTGTAGCGATTTAAAATTTCCAATGGTAGTCTGCACTGTTAGTGTTGGGCTCATAGACTGAAGTTCAACCAGGTAACAGCTAACAGCATCCAAGCAAACGTTTGTGAATCGCCGCCTGTGAAGAAAACATAAAACTCAGAGGAACAGTTTCTGGATATGAGAATTCTTCCAAAATAGAAAGTAAGCCTAACATTTTAATGGAATAATGTATCAGTAAGGCATTTCAGCTACTTTTAATTAGTTAGCTCTTTATTGTAAGAAATGGTTTTATAAGTCTAGTGCTTATAAGCCAGCTATAATGGCAGAATAAATGAATCAAATTTGATATATATTCATAATATTCACAAATTCTAATGAGGAAGAATATTTATCATAGAAAGCCCAAAAAAGGAAGGCAGGTAAACTAGATATTTGAACAGGGAATGTTTGCATGTGTATTTTTCAAAACACAGTTACAAACTGATCTTAAGAAGAGTTAATATGACATTGTCTAACACTGCTCTTTTCTTCTGAGGCAAGATTACAATTTTTTACAGTCCATTCATAAAAACTGCAAACACAGATTCTACAATTCTACTCTGTAACTTTGTAAACTCTGTAAACTGTAAACAGAGATTCTACAGGATACATGAAATTTATTGAAGTACATTAATACTCTTTTAGTTAGCACTTATTTCCAATACCAAATTTAAAGCTAAATTTTAGTCTTGGAGAATGATTAATCACCAGCGTTTTAAAAACAATTTGGGAAGATTTATACCCATGTTTAGTCTTCTCCAGGATACAAAATCTGGTTCTTCCAGTCTTTCTTCAAGAAACATTACACTGTTTCATTCAAAAAAAAAAAAAAAGACCTATTTTTCACTTTTCCACACTATTTCCAGATTCCCTCCAATTTGTCTGTAGTGCTTCTTAAAATACATTGCCAAAAATTTTACAAAATCATACTGCCACTTTCTCCAGAATCTGCCACGGAGAAAATAATTTTTATTGAGTCAGTTTTATAGGGAAGACCTACAAGTTCTCGCTAGCTGATAAAAAATTAGGAGTCTTGGAAATTACTATCTGAAAACAAACACTAAAAATTCACCCAGAAGAAAAGAAGAAAAGCTTTGGAAATAACTGAAGTGCCATACCTTAGGATATTTTATATATTTTATTGTATACTTCAATAGGATATAACTGCTCTTTTTACCTCATGAGTACTCTGCTTGGATCTTGTACATATCCTGACAGTAATACATGAATACACTCCAAAAGATGCAAGGGCTTTTTCATTCTATTCCAGTAGGGGTCCTAAAAGAGATTGCAAACTGTTAAGATGAATATTAATGAAAAAAACAAACAAATAGTTAGCTTTGATATTCATTCACTGTAACAAAAATCAAAGGTAAGTGGGACTTCTACCTTAACCGACATTAAATCTGTATTTTGAGGACTGTTTTGAAGTTTGAATACTAAAAACTTACAGAAATTTAACTCAGCTTTCCATTACCTAGGATTCTGTAAAGTTAAGAGATTTTACAAAGTTTTGCATTCCTTACTTTAAGGAACCACATGAAAAGAAATCATTCAATGTTTTAATTCAGAAAACTTGTTTTAAAAAGCAAAATTTAAAAATAAAAGTCTCTGTTAATTATGCCTATTGCACTGACTATATTGATGACACAGCAAATTTTAGTCATGAGTAGGAAAGAAATGAAATTAATATATTCAAAATTTGGCATTCCTTCTGCAGCATAACAATTCTAATCCTACTTAATTCTAAATCAGATTTAGGTGAAGTAAAATATTGACAAAAACTAAACAATTTTTCTTATACCTTATATATGCACCTTATACAGAGCTGAAGTGTATAAAATCAACAGATGAAAAGCAGCTCTAGAAGTCTTTGAAAAACACGTAACAAAAGCTATGAAACTGATATTTTGATATAATCATACCTAATACTATTTTATGTTTTCTGCCAGAGTTAGACTTTGACAGTCACTGAACTATTTATTTTATGTGTGTGGCTATTTTCCTTACCCGTGCTTTAAACAACTGGTCATATACTTCAAGCAGCCTTGGCAGTGGCACGCCGATTTCTTGCATGGTGTATGTTACAAAACCTACATCCCAGTTCAAAGCACAAACTTGTTGCTCTAGAAACTGCACTAAAAAATCTGGAGGAAAAAATAAAATGGGATACTTAGACTCCAAAGTGTTAGTGGCAGTCTAGCAAAAAGGTCATTCAAAAGTTAGTAGCTCCAAGTCTGATTTTCTGTCTTTTGCATCCTTGTTGGCAACTTTCACCTGTGACATATACAAGTTTCCTCCCATCTGTACAAGGATATGTAATTCCTAACTACCTCCAAAGATGGTTTTAAGCTATCAGCAATGCATGAGAGGAATTATTCAGACTGAACTCTTTATTATAATTCTGATACCAAACTATGTTATTAAGAGAAGTTCGTCAACTTTTTCTTTAGCACAAAACATATTACCATTTGCTAGCATAGTTAGCTTTATATGCAAAACTAAACATCTTTATCACGTTTAGGCATCAGTAATAATAACCTGATACTGTAAAAAAACCTGTAGTAAGATAGTTTCCCGATTTTTATGTAATACCACGTTGTCAGAGTGCCTGAGCATCTTAGAAGCAGAAAGAACCTCCAAAAGATTCAGAGATCCTCTGAATTCTGATTCTGAATTTGCCTCTGCAGTCAACAACAGATGCTTCAACAGACAGCAGGCAAATGTGGTGGCCTAAGATCTTATTACATGCGTAAGAGCACATTTTGACTTGGTACTCTGATACAAACATACTTAATTACTTTGTGATTTACATAGCCATCCAAATCAAACTGTCGCTGCCACCTAAGCTTCATTTACTTCCAATTCATCATAAAAACTTGTAAAATCTGCTCAAATTTAGGAAAAACTACAACTGTAAAACTCATAATGGTTTTACAAACACACAATTATACTGTATTTACAAGGTTAGAGGCAACAATTTCTACTTCTCATCTTACCTCCCTCTTCTCAGTCCCTCATCAAAGTTACCATAACAGTGAACAATGCTTTTGCTTCTAATTTCTTGGATAAAAAGGAAAGGCACCACCTAACTACCATGAAGATCAGCTCCATTACTACTACTGGTTGAAATAATGCATTGCTTCACCAGATATGGGGAAAAATTTCGCAACAAAATATGTCAATTAAGTATTACAAGCACTGGAAGAAACAAAATTATCAGCATTTTTTCTGTTCATAAGATTTAAAAAAAAAAAAAAAAAAGACTGAAATTTCTTACGTTACAGCCTTCTTAAAGGCCAGAAAAATTTGAGACCCATTCAAGTAATACATATATTTATACGCCATGCAGGCTAAACCACTTGCCTAAAGGAAAGTAACGAGGTGTGCCAGCATATATCTTTCCAAGCAATGCCATCTTTAGACTAAGTGCTTGCATTCTGTCAGCAGGGCTCAGAGACACACTGTCACTCAACTCTGAAAGAAAAAAAAAAATTAATGAGATGTTCAGAAAAATAAGAAGTTCCACGTTATGGATAACCATACTGAGATACTTAGATTTATTTCAGCACTGCAAAAATACTATGCTGTATTTGTCAAAGCAATGTCAGCATACTTAAGTGAAAGGATGAATGCGTGTATTTTCAGATATTTCTATGCTTCTTTGAAGTTCCATACAATTCTACTTAAAAAAAAGAAAAAATCAAACAAAATCCAAAACGTATAGCTTTTTTCTCAAATCACTGCCAGTGTTGTTTGCTCAATGGCAACCTTGGTATAAAACCCAAGGAAAAAAAAGGGGGGGAGGGAGAAGAGCAAATTATGCACTCATGGCACAGATGGAGACAGATTATCACATGTGAATGGCCAGGCTTGCCAAATAGTGGCCAGTACTCTGCTACTCTACACATAGATGAAAAAAACACTGCTACCACTGTTATAAAAACACTGAATTCCCCTAAAATTCTTTAGTTCTTGCCATTTTTTGCCACTTAACATTTTAATTAGAATTTCCTATTACTGAAACCTTTAGATAAAATTTCACAGTTATGCTGAATTCCATACATAATGGGAACTTAGAAAATGTTAAGATGGAACAACATTTTAATGTCTGGAATTGATCATTCAAGCCACTAATGCAATATGTTTCAACCTATATCCTTTTTGCATTCAAACCAAAGGTATAAACTTTAATGAATTATGCCTATCAAATATGTTAAAGAATATTCCAGAAAAGATGTACCAGTATCAACACTTAATCAGTCTTAAAAGCTTTAATTATACTGTTTTCCTATAATTCTAGCTTATACCAGTCTTGGTCCATCAAGACTTACCTTTCTCAATGATTTCCTGCCAGAGAGTTTGCACTAGGATCGGATCAGAATGACCTGCACAATGTATAATTGCAAGCTTACACTCTGAGAGCTTAAAAGGGTCAGCAAATTCTCCATAAAGCTGAAGAAAAAAAAAAAAAAAAAAAAAAAGAGACCAAGTTTGTCATTTCAAGTAGAGTAATGAGAAAACTTGAAATTTTTTAAAATCAATTTTTCCATTTCTTATATGGTAGACATATGGTGTATATAGAAACGGTGTACTTTAATTAACTGTTGTCAAATGCAACATTAAAATGATTTTTCATTTAGTATAAGTAGTTTAACTTCTTAAATATAATCCTTATTTTTCCATGAAAATACAATTAAGAATGCTGTTTTCCAATATGATGCTCCAATAAATCAAGAACTCTGAAGCTTAAAGAAGAAAAAACACATGGAAGAAATTGAAGTACAGAAGACTGAAGAAATATCAAAAAGAGAAAGTCTAATATAGGCATTCTGAGACCAGAAATGCCTAACTATCTCTCACATTTTCTGCTCAGCATTAGATCATTCTTTGCAGAGTATTCCCACTTAGTCCCCAAATATGACATACTGACATTCAGAGAAATTTCTAACTACCTTTGTTATATCCATCAGCTCAGCATCAAGCTGGGAGATTGCATCTTGCACTGAAGAATGATGGGAATACTGCCGATGTAACGTTTCTTGTATTTGAAGCTGGATCCTTGCAACCTTGCATAGAAACAATTTCAAGATTGGATTAAAATAATCAAATCTGAAGAAAACACTCAGTATTAACTTCACCTTAATTAAATATAGATGTGTTACTGTCTTATGTCAGAATATAAACTGCTTAATTTAATCACATTGGGAGTAAAGTACAGAAAACAGTTTTGGCAGATTTGGTCAAAAAATAAATGCCATGTGCTAGTGAGACCAAATGCAATAATACAAAGAAAGTATAGCTAAAATAAATTGTCTTACATCCATTTTCTCTTCTAATTCATGTAAGAATTCCCCATCTGCAGCTATAGAGGATATGGCAGTGGAACTTTTGGCACTCAAAATAGCACGTGCAATGTATTCAAGACGCTGCTGAAGAGAAATTTCCGTGCTGTAAAACAAATATTATAATACAAAATGAGTACCTAATAAAATTATCAGAGTTAATTATATTCTAACTAGACCTGGAAGTTAGCTATCACTCATTTCTCATTTTACTGAGTCATGCAAAAAATTTTACTTGAACCATTTTAACACTTTCTTTATGCTGGCAGTTATTGCGTACTTCTCAATCAGCTGCTCTATACTTACACTATCGCACTATAAAATTCTGCATCAGAAATTACTACTTCACACACCATACTTAAAACAGGAAATATGTTGTAAGTTAACGTATGTTTTTTTGCAAAAAAGACATGGGTCAAAAGCTAACTATTCCATTAATTTAGATTTTTTTTTTTAAAGAGCAAATGGATTAAAAAAGGCATTGGCCTTGGCTTTAATTTTTTTTTTTTTATTTTTTCAATTACATCAGTATATTAAATAAATCCCACATGATCCATACCTATGTAGGTCAGCTAATTTAGCCAAGACTCTGGCTGCGTTACTAAAATTTCTGTTCTTTTCAAAGTATCTCCACAGTAAATCCATATAACGGACTTTGTTTTGGTCAATCTTGGTCATCCTAACAAGGTAAGGTTCCAAAAAGGGGGCAGTCACCTGAAAAGATTACAGAGACAACAGTTATCTTCTTGCTCGCTCTTCTAAAGCATCTGGATTATTACAATGAAATTGTCTATTCAGTGGACCATCCAACAGATTATTCCCTGAATAAAGCTCACCTGTAGCAGTTTGTCAGCCAAGTCAACTTGTATCAACCAGTTGTAAAGCGCAATACTAAAGAGTTCATCTGTTGAACGCTGAGCTAGCTTTAGCATTTGTTCAAACTAAGGACAAAAAAGACAAAATCTGTTATTCCTGAAGACATTATGTTACATCAAATACTGAATATATAAGTGACAACATTTCATTTCATATGTTACTTACATATCATTAGTTTTCTTAATGCTCTAAAATAAGCCAGTACATGATAAATCTTGACTTTTATCTATTTCACAAAAATATTCCAAATATGGTTGTTGTTTTTTTTAATAGATAATATACAGGTAAACACTTAAAATCACGCTGCTTTCTATTATGCAGTCTTTTTTTTTTTTTTTTCCCAATTTCTTACATGGTGTCCTGCTTCTTCATTGCTTAGCATGTTGGGGTCAGATGACAGGACTGGAGGACCTGGCTTTTTGGGTACACTGGGAGACTGGGGAGCAGCTTTACTTTGATTCACTAACTCTTGAAGGGTGTCAGTTATACACTTGTAACTGTTTAATCTGTAAATAAAGCAAAAGAAAATTAAAGCCACACAATTTTAACTACCTTCTAAATTTCATTATTGCATGCCTTTGTAGACATCATTACTAAAATAAAGTGTTGGATATTATCAGGTACTTCACAAAATCTAGTTTGGTCTCAAGTCATCTTTCTAACGAATACTTCTGTAACGATCAGATCACAATGTTTTCTGTATGTATCAGTTTATCCTGTTTCAAACTAAGCTGTTGCCAAATTAATGATAACCTAGGAAAGTATGTTGGGCAAAACCATCTATATTGTGTATATTATTCTAAAATGCTTGCTTGTCATTACCCTCAATGCTTTCACCAAAGGGACTAATTTCTAGTTAATTCAAATCAAGGCCCCTACAAAAATGCTAAGAAGGTATCCTGAAAACTTGCCTCTCTTGAAAAGCCTGGAGTCCAACAGCATCTTCCTCTGGTTCTCCATTTTTATAGAAATGAAGGCCAAGACCTTGGGGATCTTTCTTCTCAGCAGCAGTAAGAGACAACTCTACTACTCCCTCATAGAAACGCACTACAATTTAAAATAAAATTAAACAAAAAATACCCTAGAAATTACTGTGTTAAATTTATGACAAGTAAGTGATGTCAAATACTACCCCTTTTTATCGCAAAATATCTCTGAACATGAATGATCAGAGATATTCACTCTAAGATACAGATCTCAGAAAGATTTATGCCCATATCTAACTTATGGGATTTCATGCAAGTCTGAAGTTATATATTTACAGAGCAGAAGCTGAAATCTTGACTGTTAAAAGAGTGATATCTGCATTTAAATACTGCATTAGCTTCTGCTAGACAAAACAAGATTCAGAACCATCTTTCAAGCAGTATGTCTGGTTTTAAACTTCATATGCAAAAATATCACAGTTTACCTTCTGCTTACTTGCAGTCAAAAAATTTTGCTAAAAACATTATTACCACAGACATGGAACAAAAGCAAACTGCACTGTGAAGTCAGTGGATGGGAATGCTTTCTTTATGCTGGCTGTTACTGCATTCTACTCAAACAGATTCTCTATACTCTATAATACTATCTACTCTATAATACTATCACATTATAAAATTCTGTATCAGAAATCACTACTTCACACACCATGCTTAAAACAGGTGTACACAGAGGAACAGTTGTACAATACAGGAACCGATGCTTTCCTTTTTCATTTGCAGGTAAAGCCTAGAACAGCTTTAAAAATAACAGGTTGAGAGAGATAATTATGAAAGTTACTGGGAAGTAATCAGAAAACATCATTGTAGGATTATTTAGAAGTTAAAAAAACAAAAATAAAAGAAGATGGTGTAAAATGATACAACAGAAACTAGTTAGCAGAAAAAGATCAGTGATTGCCTCTTACCTTGCCTATATTGTGCACAAACATTAGCAAGGTCTACTTGATTGCTGATCTTTTGGTATTCTTTCAGTGACTCTCTTAGCATTTTCTCTTTTTCCAGTTTGTTTTGAGCCTGTCGAGACCGCTGAAGCAATTCATTTGCCTACATACAAATGAGGGGAAAATGGAAACTATTCACATAACTGAGTTAGTGAGTTACTATGACAAGACTCAAAGTTGAATCAAGAAAAAACAAACAAAACTCTCAAAAACAGTTCCTCTTGTTAGTACATAATAGCAAGTTTCCAGCATAAGGACTATGCAACTGCATTAGAGACAAGCACTTTCTAGACTGGATACTTGTGAAGATAAGATTTAACCATTTCCCCTCTGCTCTCAACAGATACTTTTGCTGAATTTAGTTGGAAGAGCTTCAAATAAGAGTTCTTCAAGATAATAATCCTTCAACAAATTCCACAGAACTAGGTAAAAAACTATGCTGAGGAAAGGCTGGAATAAGATATATATTACCAATTTCAGAAAGACTTACGCATCACAATGAAGCTAGAGACCTTATGGAGCCTACAAATAACTGCAAGAACTTTGAACTAGAATTCACATAGCTTTCAGCATCGATCAACAAGAGATTAGTTCTTATGCTCTTGAAATCACTTGAGTGCAAGGTATTCACAAAATGCCCGAGTTATCTGATCTGAATCACAGGATTGTGGAACGGTTAGGCCTGGAAGAGATCTCAAAGATCATCTAGTTCCAGCCTCTCTGCCATGGGGGGGTAAGAATTTCTTCGTAATGCCTAATCTAAACCTATCCTTTTTTAGTTTAAGACCATTATACCTACTCCTATTGCTATAATGAAGTTTGTAGCCATCTTTCTTGAAGGCTCTCTTTAAGTACTGGAAGGCTGCTCTAAAATCTCCCCAGAGCCTTCTCTTCTACGGGCTGAACAATCCCAACTCTTAGACTGTTTTCATAGGAGAGGGTCTCCAACCCTCTGGTAAGCTTCATGGCTCACCTCTGGACTCACCAAAAGTTCATATTCTTCTTATATTGCGGGCCCCAGAGTAGAGCACACTACTGCTGGTGAGGACTCATATGAGATGCAGGAACGCTTCCATTGACTTGCCAGCCATACCTTTTTTAATGTGTCCCAGGATGCAGTTGGCTTTCTGGGCTGCAACTGCATGTTACCAGCTCCTGTCAGGGCATCCATCCACCAGTATCCTCCCAAAATCTTCTCCTCAAGTCTAGTCTCTATCCACTCATTGCCCAGCCCATATTTGTACTTGGGATTTCCTTAACCCAGGTGCAGGACTTTGCACATGGCCTTGCTGAGGTTTGCACAGGCTGGACGGAATTCCTTACCTCCAGTTTGTCAACTGCCTCACTCAGCTTAGAGTCACTGGTAAACTTGATGAAGATGCACTTGTGCTCTAATACACTCTAATAATGTGTTTTGGTGCTGCAAAATGTCTAAGGTGGGCTTACCTTGGAACAGACAGCATCATCAGTACTATAGAGAAGGGGACAGATGTCTTGCAAATGGGCGCTTATGCCATCAACAGCAGCATTATCTCTGATGTAACAGTTTATAAGAGAAGCAATGAGTGCTCCAGTCAACTCTTTGTCTCTAATTACCAAGTCTTTGAAAGCAGTCATCTTTAGATGTTCTTGAAGTTCCTGAAGACAGACAGCATTTCATTATTTCACCAATACTTTTATGTTGTTTGGAATGCAAAAATGTTACAGTAAACTATTTTCACTTAAGTAAACATAGTGACTGAAGTGCATAGCGGGGAAATACATTATTTTAAACAAAGCATATGTAGCAAAGTGGAAAGTACTAGAGAAAGCTCTATAAATGAAAACACTAGATTATTGGATGTGAAAGGATAGTGAGAACTCTGTATGACTACCTGTAGTCTACACAATGTGCCATATCTATTTCAGTTCTTTGTAAGAAAGTTATTAATTGTTCTCCAACTTCATAGGACACAGTCAGAACACTATAAAGCAAGAACATCAGTTTTCAATAACAGAAACAATCTGAGTATGTTCATGAATGAATGAGATGGAATATTTTGAAAGTGCATAAAATCTAGACTCTATGCCTTTTTATAAGTTACATAATTTATTCATTTTATAAAAATTATTAGGAATATTTGCTCAAATAGAGCTAGCTAGCTGCCACTAGTGTCTACTGATGATCACAAACATGAAAATACTATTACAAAAACAAAAAGGTTTTATTTGTTAAGCAACTAGTTCCTTGTCCAAGATAAGAGAAAAGCTGTCTGTGTTAGAAATTGTGCTACAACCCAAAGACAGCAGTGTGAACAGCTTCAACATCTGTGCATTCATAAAATTCAAAAATTGCTCTTTTTAGTGATAAAGAATACAACTTGAAATAACCAATTCTTCTATGACTTGCTAGGACTGAATGCCCTATATTAAAATAATTAATTTCATCAGGGATTGGATGCAAATTCAACACAGCAGTAGAACCAACAGTTCTGTAAGTTGCCTTTCCTGCAAATAGGGTATATGGGAACTGTTGAGTCACGGCCTGAACCACTGATTGAGCTCCTGGGGAAAGGACCTGATCAGCCCTGGGAGCAATTCAGCTGTGTGACCAGAAGGGGTGAAACCTGGCTACACCTTTCTAGAGTTCATTTAAGTGCTGACTGACACAGAGGAAGGATCTCTTTCTGGAAATCCCTCCTTGGTGAAGCTTTCCCCTGTGAACCAAAATCTTCTGATATGGGTGAACAGTCTTTTCCCCTTCTGTTATAGCACCTTTCTGTCATGTCAGTCCTTCCATCATCACACCTTTGTTGTAATGCCTTTCCCATTGTATTGATCTGTCCAACTGCAATACAAGGACAGACTGAAAAAAAATGGTTTTGTTCAGGCAGAAGGACAGAAGTGTTAGGTTGGGCAGAGGGGGATCTTACTAATGTTCATAAATAATTGGTTGGGAGGGTGTCAAGGAGACAGAACTAGACTTTTTGCAGTGGTGCTCAGCAACAGAACAAGATACAATGCCAAATGTCAAAACACCAGAAATTAAAACTATTTTTTCCTTTTTTTTAAGAATGGTTGAAGACTGGAATAGGTTGCCCAGAGAAGTTGCAAAGTTTCCATCCAAAATCTGACTAGACATATTTCTGGACAACCTGGTCTAGAGTAGACCTTGCTCAGAGCAGGAGAAGGCAGGCATCTCCAGTGGTTTCTTCCTCCTTCAGCTGTTCTGTGATAGATTCTAGACCTCTGCTTATGCAAAAGTGCAGTATGAAGCCTCTACAACACTACTGCTCTCCACTAATCTACTAGTCTCTCCAAAGTCTACTAACAGTAATGCAAAGAGTTAATTCCTCTAGGTTACATAACATTAGCCTATCTCTTTCACAGCACATCTTCCACAATGTGTTCAAAGAGAAAACTTTATAAAACTATAAATTTAGAACAATATTATAATTTATGAAACAGAGTAATTATTAACTCACAACAAAATAAAACTGAATCTATTGCTAGCAATGCTTCCAATTTGCTAAAATTGGGTGATGAGATCAAAACTGAATGGCTGTTTCCTAAAAATAAACAGTAGCAACCTGAATAAAAATCTCTATGCAATTTAAAATTCGTAACCTGCCTCTTAATGAGTTAAAGCAATGCACTTTTGGAAATATCTAAGCAGCAACAGGAAGCTTATTAAGTATGAACAAATAAAAATCACATGATTCAGGTCGTACCTTCTGAAGCTCACCTACAACAACACTGAATTGGTGCTCACAAAGCAACTTCCATAAAGCCAATGCCTGACAAGTTTTGCGAACCAGCTGCTGGATGCCTTGAAGTGAAGTCTTCTCGGTTAACTGTGCCTCAGCTGAGAAAGCAAAGAGATAGTCAGTAAGTAACTATACTGTACATATTTTGAGTCAGTATATTGATTTTTTTTTTTTAAGTTTTAGAATAAGTCTCCTTAAATTTTCAAGTTTTTAGTCTCTCTTCTTGATTATGGCTGTCCATCTCTTTGGAGGAAAGTGCCTTGAAAAAATGTTTTTTTTCTGATAAAAGTATAGTTTCATGTGAGTGGATTTCCAAAATCAGTCTCAAGTTTTATCTTGGTTTTTCAGAAGTATAATTTTATATGTATTGAATGT